AATTAATATTTCTCTGAGTTTTAGAAGTTGATTTTTTTTTAAATGCTATTAGCTTTATTTGTTTACGTACAAACTTATTTTATCAATAATATGTTGGGATTTGACCTCATGCTCAAATATAAAATTAATCAATAAATTCAAAACATAACACAATGAAAAATAAAATATATATTTAATAAAAAAATACCAAATCCCTCAAGATCAATTGTTTGTGTTTTTCATGCAATTTGAAATTAGTTATGAATACTCATAAATTTAAGTATTATATACTTTACTTTAAATATCATGATTAAAAGCTAATTAAATCCAAAAGACTTTTGATGAAGCAAGAAACTCGAAAAAAGAACAAGACAATATGAAATCTTGCAACAAAAATCTTTGCTTCTTCACTTTTAAGATTTGTCAAGTTTGCAGTTACTTAAGTGTTTAGTCTTTAATAGTAATTCATACAGTGACTAAAAAAGACTTTCTCAAAAGTAAGATTTATTTTACTTGTGTTAATCAGTTTTGTTTTCAAAAAAAACCAAAAGACTAAAAATCCTAGTCGAACCTTATTTTATTAGACAAAGAAAACTTATTTTTCTTTTTTTATTTTTATGAATTAGTTAAGAAGTGGCTTAAAGCTTAAACTTTTGATTGGCTAACGTAACTTATTTATATAGCTAAACTAAGTTGTAACGCTAGATACAAGATTTGTATTTTTATTCAATTAAGTCATTGTGACCTTAATTAATTTTTTCACTTTATTTTGATCTATTTCAATTAAGTTCAACTTAATTAATTATCCTTATTTAATTTCAAACATGACATTTAGTGATGGAATCAAGTAATTCACAAATATAAGTTGTAACAGATTTAGTGACAATAGTGTTTAAATAGTGACAAAAATTTGTGATAGAATCAATGATAGAAATTTGTGACAGAAAATAGTGACAATATTCTCATTTTGTGACAAATACTAGTGACGGAACTAGTGACAACATTATCACATTGCCTAGTACTAGTGATGGAATTAGTGATAAAATAGATTCATAACATAATGTTGTGACAAAATCAGTTACAGTATTTTACAACTGTGACAAAATGTTGTGACAGATTTAGTGATCGTTTTCTTAAATCTATAATGAATGAAAGATGGATGGCTGCCCAGATTGACAAAAAATTGTGACAAAAAGTACACTAATTTGTGACAGTAAATTCGTCACTAAATAGTGATGGATTTGAAAAAAATTGTAACAAAAGTATTAGTGAGGTGACTTACCGTATGAGAAAATATCCGTCACAATTTTCATCACTAATTTTTATTTGTGACAATTTTTTCTGTCACAGAAACTAGTATTTTTGGCAGTGAGCTTGGTTGTTAGAATCCATTACCTCCTATTTTAAAAGTGTTAGCTCTATAATAATGAGATAAATATCCTATGGGGGGTGAATTAGTTTTTTTTAAAAATTCTTTTCAACAAATTTAAACTTTTAATGAAAGCAAGTTTGAAGAAAAGTTTTTCAAATTTGTTCACTTTAAAACATGCCAACAGTAATAAGCAAAGTAATGAACAAACAAGTTGAAAATAAATTTTCAAACTCTTTTAAGGCAAAATGCACTAGTCTAAAATTTCACAATCCTCCAATCATGTAAAGCTAAAAATTATTTTCACAAATTTGTTTTTCTATCAAAGTGTGTCAATAATAATTTGAAGAGTAAATTAAGAATAAATAAGTTAAGAACAAATTTGGTACATGATTTAATGTAAATGTATAAAATCAAGGACTGAAAGATAAAAAGAGAAGACACGTTAATTTTATAGAGGTTTGGACACATTACTCAAGGCACTAGAGTAGTGGATGCCTACTTCACTGAGCTGAATTGTATGTGGGAAGAACTTACAATCAAAGATGCTACATAAGGTTTTCATATCAATACCAAAAAGACACAGTGCTCATGTTCCTTAATGGACTCAATGAGTCCTATTCTACTCTAAGGTCCTAGATAATTTTAATGGAACCTTTTCATACTCTATACAAGGCCTACAATTTGGTGTTACAAGAAGAATCACAAAGGAAGCTACTGATACAATCACAACCTTTATCAAAATTTGTTGCTATGTTGGTTACCATTGATGGGAAATGAAAAGGGAGACCAAACATCATCTATGCTTATTATGGGAAGAAAGGACACTCTAAAAAGAAATGCTATAGATTTATAGGCTTTCTAAAAGATTTTAAATTCAACAAAGGCAAGAATAGTCTTAAAAAGGGGAATCCTAATCACTTTAGTGCCAAATTAATGAATAGTGTCTTGACTACTAATGATTCCCATATTGATTAGGATGAGGATTTAGGCACTAACTCCATGTCTCAGATGTCTTTTACAAGGACCTAGTTTCAAAAACTACTTGCTCTCATCAAATAAATGAATTAGACAGTAAGGTTATTATTTTCCAAAACACTCAATAGGCCAAGCCTTCCTTGGTAAACTCAGCTTTGGTGGGTATCATTTCTAGCCGTTATTGCTTAAACATAGTTAGTTCTCATTCAAATAGCTCATTGAATTTCAATAATTTCATGATTAAACATAGTTTTTAGATTATGGACAATAGTGCATTGGATCACATAGCATGTAGTCTTAACAAATTTATTTCCTACCAACCAATAAATAATATTTTTGTTCATTTACCAAACAATGCCAAGTAGCTGTTTCACATATAGGTACAGTCTGGTTAAGTCCAATCTTGATATTATACGATCTCTTATGTGTTTTTACTTTCAGATTCAATCTTTTGTCAGTAAGTCAATTACAAAATCCAAAATCATTGCATATTTTTTACTAATACTTATTGTGTCATTCAAAATCGTAACACATGAGCTGTAACTGGAATTGCTAAGCTTACATTAGGACTTTGCTTCTTGCAGAACAACAATGATGCATAATATCTTGAACAATTTAAGTTTAAGAACATAGTCAAATTTCCTTTAAACGTTTGCGTTAATGTTAGCAAAACAAATTCTAAATGTTTTGACTTATGGCATTATAGGCTTGGACATGTGCTTATTGATAAAATAAAGAAGATTCACAAACGTTTTCCAAAAATTTCTAGTAATTGTGAATTGCCAGGTGAAGTTTTCCTCTAGCAAAATAGTAGAAATTATCTTCTCCTAAGCAGGTTCAAAGCATTACATTTGCTTTTGAGTTGCTTCATGTTGATATTTAGGGACGTTATACTACTGCTAAGTTAAGAGGTCATCATTATGTCCTTACAATAGTTGATGATTTGCAAGGTTCACATGGATATTTTTAATGAAAGCAAAATCAGATGTATTGTCATTAGTCCTTTCTTTTTATAACTTGATTCAAAATCAATTCAATGTTTCCATTAAATAAATAAGATCAAATAATGGTTTTGAATTCAACTTAATTGAATTTTATGCATCTAAGGGTGTCGTGCATCAGTTGTCCAATGTAGAAACACCACAGCCAGATGGTGTTGTTGAAAGGAAACGCCAAACATTATTGATGGTTGCAAGATCCTTGCTTTTTCAGTCCTATATGCCAACTAAATTTTGACGAGAAGTCATTCTTACTGCTACCCATATAATAAACAAAATTCCTCCATTTGTCCTTAGAAATGTATCTCCATATGAAATGTTATTTAAGAAACCCTTTTCTTACAATCACATCAGAGTATTTGGATGTCTTCACTTCACATCTGCCGTGACACATAATAGGAAGAAATTTGATAAAAGAGCATCCAAGTGCGTCTTCCTTGGCTATCCAGTTGGTGTTAATGATTATAAAGTTTATGATGTCGATGCACTCAAGGTCTTTATTTCAAAGAATGTGGTTTTTTATGAAAGTTCATTTCCATTCTGCACCAGTACTGCATCTACACAACCATTTGACTTTCAAAAACATTTGGTCTACATGAGTCAAATCTTCATATTTTTTGTACTTTCCTTGATAATTTCCCTTCTAGCTAGAATTCAATATCACATAAACTCTCTTAAGTCAACCACTTCACCTAGTTCAGTTCCTATCTTTGAAACTATTCTCAATTCTCCAATTTTACACCAAGAAAACTCTTTACTTGATGATTCTATTTCACCTCAAACTCAAGAAAACATATCGATTGTTGATCATTCAGTACCTAAGAAAAGTACTAGA